GGGGCACGGGTAGAAGAGTTGGCCTTAGATAACCTCAGACACTTTTCATCCCATTTTCACAGGCGGGAAGGTGGAATATAAGGCAGAGATGCAAGCAGGAAAGAAAATTTGATGGTGGATGAATGTGGAATTTCTCTCCTGATTGCTTCTATTTTTCCTTTTTTCACTGAAATAATCATCAACTGAAGAATGAAAAATGATATAGAAGAGAGAAGAGAAGGTGGTGAAAGAATTATCACTAATAAAGGGAGAGGAGATTCTAAGTAAAAGTAAAATAACTGGAGGGGAGCAATTATGACCCACTTGAGATTGACGTCATAAATTTAAAATGCCACCAGTCAGCAAGTTTATGTTTTTCTCCAGCCATTTTGGCTGCTAAAATGCAGAATTTGGGTTGTGTTATGAAGGCAAAGTAGTGGGAAGATGGCAAAGGAATTTAGGGTGCATAAGAGAGTGACTACAATGACGGATCACAGAGTCTGAGCTAGTAAAGGAGGCTGACAAGTCCTATTGTTAAAAACACGGGGTTGGAGGACTCAGTTTGGTTGAAGGATTATTGTGGTGTGGATATTAGGAAAAAGTGAGCTAGAAAAAGGAGAGGTAGTAGTCAGAGGGTAGGACAGTTGAAACAGATTTTGAAAGTGAAACAGCAGGTGTCCTAGTAAGTGATACAATGACAAAGGCTGAAGTATCCCCATAAGAATAAGTGCCTGAGGCGGGCTGGAGAATAGGTGTTTTGAAGAAACCAAGGAGACAAGAGGTCTGCATATTGAACAGATTACTAAACTGACAATGGGAACCCTCCTACACTGTTGGTGGGAACTAAATTGGTGCAGCCACTATGGAGGACAGTACAGAGGTTCCTTTAAAAACTAAAGACAGAGTTACCACATGATCCAGCAATCCCACTCCTGGGCATATACCCAGAGAAAAATATAATTCAAAAAGATACATGCACTCCAATGTTCTTAGTAGCACTATATACAATAACCAAGACATGGAAACAACCCAAATGGCCACTAACAGATGAGTGGATAAAGATGATGTGGTGTGTACACACACACACACACACACACACACACGAATACTACTCAGCCATAAAAAATAAAACAATGCCATTTGCAGCAACATGGATGGACCTGGAGATCATCATTCTAAGTGAAGTAAGCCAGAAAGAAACAAAAATGCCACATGATGTCACTTATATGTGGAATTTAGGGGGAAAATGACAGAAATGAACTACTTATTTATAACTTAGATGACTGATTTTTTTTTAATATGTGGGCACATTTGACTGTCCACTATGAATGGATTACTACATTCTGTTGATTCTTTGTGGTTGGCTTTATTCTTTTTTTTTTTGATAACTTCGTAAGTTTAAAAAGCTAAAGCTCAAAACTATTCTTACAAACAATAAATAGTACATGTATGTAAATTAAAAATTAGAAAAATAAAATTGACAATGGGAGAAGCAGAGGAAAATAAAAAGGGAGGTGCTAAATCTTCAGAGAATGAGAGGAGTACTGAGGAAGACTGCTGCGAAGTGCAGCATAACAGGAGCTGGGGCACAGCCTTATAGCACAGGTTTAAAGGAACTTGAAAGTGATCCTTACATGGGAAATGTCACCTGAAACTACAAAAAACTTCTCATTAGAAAGTAACAGCACAAAGTACAGAACAAAATTTTAAATTAAGGGAAAAATCATAAGAAAAATACCTAGTGGGAAACTTATATAAATTCAAGTTTAAAGTATTGTGGTAATGGATGTGCACCAAAGGGTAAAAAAGCAGAATTCTGAACGTCCAAGCTTCACTCATGTCACTCTCCCTAACTAGACCCTCTGGGAAAAGGGATGAGAACTGTAGGAGTTGAAGGCTTTTCTAAGAACTACAGGTACATAATAGCAACACATTTGACAACTAAAAATATTTTATGGAAAACAGTATTTTAAAAAATGTATCAATTTCTAACTTTTCTCTAAAAGCTATATGACATTCTGTAAGGATTAGGAGACAACATTCAACTCCAGAGGAAAAGTCTATCACTATGTTGAAACTATTCAACAACCGTAAAGACACTGACAATGGGAGACCGCCCGTACAGAGGTACTCTGATTACGATATGAAACCGAGTCCCTTTGACACCTCATTAAATCACTTTATGTAAATTTTAGAAACTACTTTGGACAACCCATTCCGCTTCCTCTTGCAGACACACGATATGCATTAGTTTATTTAAGGCACCTCGAAGTCCAGAGCACCAGGAAGCATCTGGTCTGGTTTAACCACGCATCTCACAGTACTACTGGCTAAGAGAACATAATTTTTTCCTCACATAGTACTAACACAATAAGCTTTAGACAAACACTAGATAGTTCATAAGCCAGAAACACAGTATGAGCTCTTATACTAATGGCCTGGAATTACTATTTATTCCAGTTTTAATTTTGCTTTAATAAAGTATTTATCTACAGAGATTAAATGATTTCTACTAAATCAGGGCTTTAGGGGGAAAAGAGAACATTCAGCTTTTTCACTTTGCCATTACTTATTAAAATATTTTAGTAGATGGAAATTTTAGAATTTTAGAATAGTATGTAGATAAATGCTAAATTTGTAAATTATTATGAAAATTTTGAAATTTTTAAGTTCAGTTTTGGTACCTGTTTCCACAGTATTTTCTGTTTCTGTTGTCTCCAGCCCATCCATGCTGTCCTCATCTTCCACTGCAGTTTTTCCTCTACTTCGAGGCCTACAAAGAAATAAGTACATATAACTAAATGTTACATTTTAAGGCTTAGAATTATACTCAACATAAAGCAGTAGTTGAAGGTACATAGAAATAAAATAATTTAGGCAAGTTTTTCCTTCGTTTTATCATAAAAATAGTAAACATCACACTTTATAGTCATTTTGCCTCCAAATCTAGCCTTTCTTTATATGCACATGTGGAGACAGGCCCATATTAATATATTTGTGTCATCACAACTCACTTCTTTGAGTTATTTTAAGTTTTCCTCTTTCACCAGACTTTGAGATAACTCCATCTACAGTAGTGATTTTTAACACCCAATGGGTTCTTCTCAAAGTTTGCACACCAGGTTATACCTCTAGATCTAATGAAACTGAGGAGTGATGCCCAAATGTCTGTATTTTTAAGACACTTATCCTTTAATGTAAAAAGTTATGCACACCCCTGCAAACCGCAAAAACCTGGTACACATGATTTAATCACACCTGCCTTACAAAAAGGAAGCTGAATTTTAATTTATAAACACTTCACTAAAGTAAAATACATTTAAGAATCATGGTAAAGTAAGATTTTTTTGACCCAATGCAATTAAAAAAAACTAAAACTAATACCTTTAAAGATTTTGAAGCCTCATAAATAAGGGATAGAAATGAGTGAAAAAAAAAGAAATTAAAAACACATAAATTAATAAAAAATAAGACATTACATATAAAAAAACTTAGACATTGACAAAGCAGTATTCATATAATTTCAGAGCTTTAAATTATTTCATTACTTAAAAAGAAAAAATACAAATGAACTCAGTATTTAGTTGAAAAACACTGAAAGAATAGAAAGCAATAAGAAATAAAGGACAATAATATGGGGAAAAAATTTAAGGCTATTTTAAACAATAGGAAACCCTTTCAATCTTTTTTTAGAAAAGGATATTAATCAATCAAAACCAATAAAGAAAGATATAAGAATTTCTTAATGATGATTATAAGTCCAAATGGTTTATAAGAAAACTACTTCAAACTGTCAAAAAGTCGACCCTGCTCCCCGCAAAATTAAAAAGCAGTATCCGAACCAAAATCCTAACATATCCAAAAACTATGGATGAAAAAATTATTTAAACTTAGTAAACATAATCAGCATGCAAGTATGATTTAACAGTAGAAATCTGCCAGTGTAACACATCAAGTCAAACAGCCACAACAGCGTCATTCACGAGGGAAAGGGGGAAAGGAGGCAGAACCAAAAACACGATGGAAAGAGTGATTAAGACTAAGGTCTATTTTACTGTTCATGGAAAAAGGGAGAGGTTATCTTTATAAAGTCAAAGTAGCCATGTTTAATTTAAAAGAAAACTTCAGAACAATCAGAGGAGAAAGAATGAGGGAAGTCTGACCACTTCAACAGCAGGCAGAAAGCGAGAAAAATACATAATAAATAGAACATAAAATTAAAAGATTAAAAAATAAACACAAATATGAGTTTCTACTGCAAATATAAATGACTCAAACTTTGCTGTCATTATTTAATGATGAAAACAATAATTTACCAGTATAATACAATTCAACAGAACTTCAAATCACATAAAACAAACATTTACAGCATGAAGAGAAATTGATAGTTTCACAATCATTATGGGAGAAGTTAACATCCCACTCTCAGACACTGATGGACAAAGCATTATATTAAAAGCATTTTAAGCAAATATTTGGACAACACATTTAAAAAGTATCATTAGATAATTCAATCAATCCTCCTTGTGTCTGGCTCTGTTAAAATGAAGGCTACAGAGGCAAACAAAACAAATCCCTGCCTTCACTAAACTACATTCTAGTGAATGTTTGTTACTCATAAAACACATATAATATCAAGAAAATGCTATGGTAAAAATAAAGCAGAGAATGAAGGACTAGCTACCTTTTTAAATAAGACATTTAAAACACGAAGTTTATACAATAAAATTCTGAGTAAGGAGATGCTTCTGCAGAGATGTGAAGGAGAAGAGGAACCAAATCATGCAGATATCTGAAGGAAGAGCGCTGCAGTGGAAGGAACCGCAACACAAATTCTTAAGAAAAGAGTCTGTGAAGTGATGGTAGGGCGGCAAGGGCACACTGTAGCGGTAGCAGAGTGACAGAGGAGCAGCAAGGAGATATGAGGTCTAGGAAATTTTTTAAAGGGGGGGGCGGCAGTTAGTTTAAAAACTTGTTGACCAGTTTAACAGCTAGATACAAGAAGACAGGAAATTCTTGAAATAATCCCAACATGACTGCTACAGTTGGACGAGGATAAGAAATTAATTCACAAGGTATTATGGAGGTAGAATTTACTTTTCAGCTTTCCTTTATATCCTTCATAATTATGTACACTCGCTGTTAAAGAAACTGAAACACACATGGCTTAGCTGGCTTTGTCGCTTAATCTTCCAAGCCAATGTTCTGCTCTATTCTAAGTTTCTCTCTCCACTACCCTGACCATCACTAGCCATTATTCTGGGGGGCACAACTGGCTTTATTTCAAACTTGTTTTATCTAGTTAATATCTCAATATGTTGGTTGTCTGCATTGTGGTATTCATTTGTTAAAAATAAATTTTAATTTTTGCTTTGCTTTTTGTTCTTCTGATTTCTCCTATTCTCGATTTTGGCACCAATAAAACATGTGTTTTATATTCATCAGTTCATCAGAATTTTATTCATTCTAGCCAATGGATCAACTTACAAACATCATGCCACCTTTAAATTTCCCGTATTTCATTCATGTCTTTTTATTGCTGCTCATTGGCTTTTGGTATGTGATCGTTCTCACTGATAATCAAACACTGAACTTGTTTTTTCTGAATGCAAAAGATAATGGTCATACTGTCAAACCACGTCAGTTGCCAATTTCCATACTTAAATGGTAAAACAGATGAATATATTTTATATTTCCATATTGTATTCAGATGTTCTCAGTTTTGGTTTTAAATAGAACTTCGAAGTCTAATTGTAAATGATAACACAAAGATTATTTTAATCTTTCTTTGGTTTTTTTCTTCTTTCTTCTATTTTCCTTTCTATCTCCTAACCCTTTCATTTTAGTTTCCTTTGTTTCATTTTGTTGCAAAGAAATATGAAGTAAAATATTACTACTAACTTTACTGGAGAAAATTTTCCACCAAAAATTCAATGTTCTTTGTTAATCTTGTAAATTAAAACTAATTTGAGTTCCTAAAATAACATAGAAGGCTTCTACCTAAAGCCACATGGGAACAAGAAGGTTTAAAATTACCTTTAGTCATGAACAACTAGAAAATCAGACAAAATATAAGAAACGCCATTATGAGACACTAGAAAACAGGCAGGGACATGACCACAATCCCTGAAAGAAAGGAAACAAGGTGAACCCTACCATCGCAAAGGCTTCCTGCATGTAGTTAATTTCCAAACTATAGCACAGAGAGGGAAGGCCATTGTGCTGAAATGAGCAGAAAGAAATCATGAGTTCAGGGTACTGGAGGCGGCTAGAATCTGTGGAACAGAGTACACAACAGGAGGGAGCTGGGCACGGAAAGGGCTCCAGAAATCTGCATAAGGATACTCTCCAGTTTTTATCTGAATACCAATCTGTGTAGCTGTGGTGTAAAATCCCACGAGGCTGAACAGGAACAGCTTCCAAAGAAAGAACAATTTCAGAAGAGCTGCAATAGGAACAAGTCCCAGAGCTCCCGGAGAGCCAGGAATCAACTGTGTGCCCTCTAGCGAGAGTGCCAAGACCTCAATGACTACATAACATATTCACAGAAACTAGAGCAGAATATGCGTTTAGGAATAGGGCTAAATGAAGCCTAGAACAAATGCCTAGACAACCCACACAAGAGCTTACAAAAGTCTCAGCAGAATCAAAGCAATCCACAGTTAACTGGTAGCAAAAAAAAAAAAAAAAAGTTTAACACTTGTTAAAGTATTGTAACAAAATCTAGCTTTAAGCAACAACAAAAAACCCCACAATGTGTGGCATCCAATAAAAACTTACAAGATACACCAAGCAGCCAGAAAATGAGTCACAACCAGAAGAAAAATCAAGGAAAAGAAACAAAACAATAGAGCTGATGGAAGGGACAGGCATGGCCATTAAACCAGCTATTATCAATATGCCTCATGTTTATTGAATATGGAAAACATGAATATGAGAATAATAATGAAAGATAATTTAAAATGTTAAGAAAATGGAATAGAAGTAACATCAAAAGAAACTTTAACTTTGAAAGATTTAACATGATTAGAAATTGCAAAAGAAAAGATGACTGACCTTAAAGACATAGGGGGAAAAAAACCTCTATCCAAAATAAAGGACAAAGTGGAAGAAAGATAAACACAGCTGCAGTGTCCTGTGGGACAATAATAACCAGTCTGATACGTGTGAGGCTGGAGTTGGAGCGAAGGGTTCAGAAAAAATGTTTAGTGAGATAACAGCTGTAAGTCTTGCAAACTGCATTAATTAAAAACCCACAGATACAAGAAACACAACAAAACCACACACACACACACACACACACACACCACACACATACATCGATAAGGCATTTTATAGTCAATTTGCCAAAAAAAGAGTAATAAAGTCTTAAAATCAGCCCCCCAAAAAATACAGTTTACAGAGTAACAAAAATAAGAATGACTGCAAGCTTTTCATCTAAAACTATGTAAGCCAGAAGACAGTGAAACAACATACTTAAAAAGGATTAGAGGAAAATTTTAAAAAATAATAAACCTTGAATAAAACATACAGCAGAAACTAGCCTTCAAAAATAATAGTAATGTTAAAAACTTTTTCAAACAAATGCTGAACAAATTCTTCACTAAAAAAACCTTCATTTCAAGATACGTTCAGGAAATTCTTCAGAAAAAAAGGAAAATGATATTCAATAAAAACTTGGATCAGAATTCCTGTATGTGAAGGAATAAAGAATGATGGAAATGGTAAATACATGAGTAAATATAAAAGGCTTATTTTTAAATCTCTTTAAAAACTAACTCACTGTTCAAAGCAAAAAT